CTGGAATATAATATGATTTACCGTTTATCCATACCTCAATTTCTCTTGGAAAACGAAGTTGAACCGCAGCCATCCTAGCGATAACGAAGCACAAACAGAAAAGACCCACGCCGCGCCAAACGTTCGTTGCTAAGCGTCAGATCATGAAACAAAACTATCAAGATTCGGGAGGGTCGGGATCGGGAGCTACATAACACTACTAGCACTACACAGCGTAAAATTTTCTTACTAGATTTAAAATCGTTCAATTGAGTATCCACACTAGAATGCAATTATTTGTCTACGCTTAACGTTCTGATTATATGTACCTGTATTATACGTACGTATGTAAACGTGCACACGTAATAAGTAGGAATATATTTCAACTTCAACTTTACTATACGTACGAAACGTCAACCAGTTTACATGACGGTTACGCATCAAAATACGGAAGAATATTCGAGAAATACGTACATGTGTGCTGCATGATAATAAGGTGTCAGTATAAATGCTAAAACATTCGTAGGTTAAGTTACTTTGAAGAAACCGGAATGTGAGACTGGTATTTATACATTTGCATTCAGTCTGTTATAAAAGTACAGATACGAATAGTGGTGTGCAATAAACTAATAAAACAACTGTTCAAATCGCAAAGATTTCAGGATGGCACTGCATCGAATTAGTAATTCATCCGAGTTATTGAAAGCTCTATCTCGCGTTTCTCTCACAGGTATGAAATATATATCACATGTATATTTATATAATACAAGTTCGTATCTATTATCATCATCTTCATTAAATATTTTACTAATCAAATCAAATGATATTCCAGCCTTCCTACAATAGTTTTTTAAGTTAACAGATACTTAGTGAATTAGTTTTTAATGCTTTTACATTGTTGTACATTGTATTAACAATAACGAAATTATTTATTTATCATTCCATTACACATGGCTTCGAAAACATGTATGTATGTACATCAATACCACATTTAAATGCGACAGTGATATTCTCTTTTTAATCACTACCTAACAATCAATTATAAATCAACGATTTGTGTATATTTGTACACGAAATCCTTCTTATAAATGTATTGTGTCAATTAACAACTACTTCTAGATTATAGAAGCACCCAAGCAACATTCATTTGTGAAGATTTGTTAAATGTTATATTGTTTGTCAAAGGTGCAAGTAAAACTATTACAATTTTTTCAGTAAATGCGTCATTAAACGAAATGCAGTGCACGCGACACGCGCTACTGTATCAACATCGTATGAAAAATCTTCACGTTACAAGTGTTCGCCGCTATCCTGATCCTCCTGCGCTACCACTCCCTACGAACGTGTCCGAGATATTTGCAAATGAGACCGGTCGATTTACACCGGAAAGAGCACGCGACATCGCAGCACCAGTACTACTCTATAGTAATAACGATCGCAAATCATTTTACAAAACGGAACAATTAACGAAACCAGCGGAGTGCACGAGCAGCTTGAAAAATTGTAACGACACGCATGTGGAGTCATATGACTGTTTCGGAGCGGTCAGTTTGAATGGCTCGATGCAGAGCACTGTGCCAAAACCATTTTGTTCCAACGGGAAATCAATGTATTTGAACATGCCGGGCGGTCAATGGGCCAGAGACGGAAAGTATATCGCCGAGGACATGCAAAAGTCGCATTACCGAAGTATTCATCTGCCACAATTGAAGCTGAACAAAAGTGGTTAGTAAAAGTCGATGAGATAGAAAATCTCAACAACCGTCCACGCGTTCCTCTCGGCATATAATTTTATTGAACTATAAATATAAAAAACTGTTCTTATACATGTGGTAAATGGAATATATTTTAAAAAATGTTGATAGAATTTATCATCTTGATAAATTTTATTTATACATTGCTTATCTGTGGACGAGTAAATTGTTGTATATCGAGATTCTTAATCGATTATTAACAATGTTAAGTTTTTTTATGTTCGCTGTCGACAAGATAGGCAATTGTAATTTGTCGTTCAGGTTTGACAAGTCATGTTGCAACGAATACACTTTTCCAAACAATGTACACGCCGAAATACATCTGCAGTACGGGATTTTCAACTAAAACAAATCATGTCTTAAGTTCCAAAGAAAAAGTGGATGCGATTTTATTATCCAGGAGAGAAAGGTTTAAAATATTAATGAAAGAATACGGAACTACTGTTGTCATATTTCATATAGGAATTTCTCTGGTATCTCTTGGCGCTTGTTACGCAGCTGTATCT